AAGAGATGTTTGTCTACTCCAACTAAACCTCCCGCAAAAAATAGCAACATTTGCCTCTCGGAGACAGCGTACCAGCACAAAGAAACGAGGAAGAAGTGCAAGAAAACAAATCAAGCCGCCATAATTTAGTGACGGCGGCAGTGTCTAATGGACAAACCACATCGCAAGCCCTGACCAAAGTCGAAAACAAGCGACATTTCGAAGCAGCGTCCCAGTTCACTGCATCACACCTTTTTGCTCGGACGCGCTCGTTTCACCGCCCAACCTTTATCCGCCCTGCCCTCTACTGATTTACCTTCCGGTCGTTTACGAGAGCTCATTCTCGTAACCGACCAGCCCTATTTACGACCACTTTAATGAATTTGCGAGGTAGTCCCTTACGAGAGCTTCAACTACAGTCACAAAATCAACCCACATAATAGGTTGATTTAGCAACAGAATGGGAACGTCAGTCGACGATGGCGCGTGCAAATCAAACAACTGCCTTGACCAATGGCAGAGCGGCAAATTGAGCACCGGAAGTCGTGTTTAGTCCTTTCTGCGCGCTTTCCCGTCGTCAACTGACGTTCCCGTCCTGTCGCCAGACCCTGTCCTGTGAACCAACCCGCCTCTAATAGGGAAGAAATCATGTAGATTGGCGTGTTAATAACTGGGTTTAGCATGTCCACCACAGCAATATTTGCGGCAAGAATGTTTGGAACAGTTCGAAAGGATTTAAACCGTGCAATAACCGCCAGAATCAGCCCATTACCAAACCTAACACCCAGGGCCAGTGAAACTGTTAATAAACCCATAAAAAGTTTAGTCATAAAGGGCTTCGGTGGGTACATGACGAAGGTGTTCACCGAGCTGCTTCCACATCTACAGCCATCACCTAAAACGGTCAAGTTCTTTAAAAGATCACATTATGTTAAGTTTTTCTGTTGTCTGGTTTAAAATAAAATTTGAGTTGAAAGAGCGGCTAATTATCTTCCGGCGAATGCGTTTCGGAAAACGGATTGATCAGTAATAATAATCGATAATTAATTATGGTAATAATTGATCGGTAAGATAAAAGTGGATTTGAAGTACGCAGGTGACTTGTATCCGGTAAATGTGTTTGAAGGCACAATAGTTATTTAGGCAAATGGGTTACCATTATTTAAAGGTAGGATATCCAAGCAAGTTTTTTTGGCATGTCAATAACTGCGTTTAGCATGTCCACCACAGCAATATTTGCGACAAGATTGTTTGGAACAGTTCGAAAGGATTTGAATCGGGCGATAACCGTTAGAATCAGACCATTACCGGACGTAGCACCTAGGTATACACTTACATCTTCACTTAAATGGTCAAAATATCAAAAGACTGGGATACATTTCGTCTTTTCCGTCACGGTTGCCTTGTTAAAAGAAAAAAACAACATTTAAAATGGCAGGTGACTTGCCTCTGGGAAATGAGTTTTGAAGGACAGAGGGATCGTACATAACAGGGATACTAAGGGTGCGTTCCTTTAGGATGATCCACATCAGGATCAGTGATCGAAGATCACTCCGATCATGGTAGATATGGTAGATGAAATGAACCGATGAGTCCACTCTAGACAAGGATTCATCAGTTCATTTGATCTACCATGATCCGAGTGAGCTCGCATCGCTGATCCTGATCCAATCATCCTAAAGGAACGTACCCTAAAATTTGAATGGACTCATTTTGTAACTTGGTCTAAACTGAATAAAATGTAGCCTGAAATTCATCCGATTGCTTCGAGTCGTTTTCTCCTCTCAGTTACTGAGGAAGTAATAACGACTCGAAGTAATCGGATGAAATTCAGGCTAAATAAAATGGTCATCAGCCAAACTAAAAAAAAAATCTATGTTGGCGGTGGGAAAGCGATTACAGAAACGTTTGGACAGTACTGAAGCGAATCTGAATCTCTCTTTGAATGGGGCTATTATTGAACAGGTTAAAAGCCATAAGCTTCTCTCTGGACAGCATTTAAGACTTCAAAAGAGGGCAGCGAGAGTGACCCTGAATGCACGTTTTAACTCAAGATCCGTGGACCTGTTTAATACACTTAACTGGATTCCTTTTTATAGGGAGTCGCACATTTAAATCGATGCGCACTCATTCACAAGAGACTTAAAGGAAACACTTCTAATTATATGAATGAACTTCTAGTCGCAAATTCTAACATGCATATGAGGAATATAGATATTGTAATTTAAATTTGCTTTGTCCTAGATATTATGGCACGGAGGGTGGTCGTTCTTTTACGGTTCATTCTATTAAGGTTTGGAACTCTACACCAAGATCTTTGAGAGTTTTGGACAGCTACTCACGTTTTAAAAATAGCCTTTTAAACAAATTTTTAGTTACTCAGAAAAAGGACTTAAGTTTTTAAATAACATATGTAATCTTTGCATCTTAACTTATCAATATATTGTGTGTATTTTAATCTGTTTCTTTATGATTTGTAATACATTTTCATGACTTAAAGTTTATGATAGGCAGAATTAGTATAAGTATTTTTAATTTTTCGAGGGCCACTCGAAAAAGTATCTATTGATCTATCTATCTATCTATCTATCTATCTATCTATCTATCTATCTATCTATCTATCTATCTATCTATCTATCTATCTATCTATCTATCTATCTAAAACTGTGTTAAACGGGAATTTGGGGTTCCATTTACAAGTTTATAAGTTTCTACAAGCTTACAAGTTTGTACAGTAATCGCTAATATTGAGAAGTAGTGTCTTTTACATGTCTACAAAAGAAAGCAGGCAGATATACACTCCGCCCAATAAGGAGCAATATATTTTCTCCTAAGGGTGTCACTAAAAAGTGTTGGCTCATTTCAAGATCGAAATATCAAGACTCGACTGTTTCTTCTCGGAGAAAACGAGATTGTCGTGCGTTGGCTGAATGGAATAAATTAACTACTAAAGGGAGGAGTGGGAGAAATAGAAAGCAAACGATTGCAGACAGACTCCAACTTTAATGCCCTCTCCCCTCCAAAAATGTTCAAATAAATAAAACTGGGTGAAGCGAGTTTCCCTTGCGGCACGACCAATCAGAAGTACTAGCCAGATCTGGGTAGTGACATGTTATCAGTATGGAATTTCTGCGCTCGTGCCTCTGACGTCATTATAATAATATGGAAATTTCAAGGTTATAGTGTTATGTATCGGTCAAATCGAAGCTTCAACATGCCCCCCCCGGGCAACCCCCTGGGCATTTGACTTTTTTGAAAATTATTTTTCAAATTCCCCCCTACCCGGGCCAAAATGCCGTTTAAATGCCCCACACTAGGGTCCATTCAGATGATCAAACGCCCCCACCCCGGGTACATTTCACAGGCACAAAAATGACAGAAGGACAGCGGAAACGCCTTCAGTTGTCGAACAAAATCTTTATTAATATAACAAAAACTGAGCAACACTGTTAGCGTATTTACTACGAACAAAAGTCTCGTGCAAAGCGGCGGAAATCGCTGCTACACGGTCACTGAATGCACAGCTTTTCTTCGTCATGCAACATACCCGGGGGGGGGGTACTGCCATATATGGGGTATATAGGTATGTGCCGCTGTGAAGGGTATGGTTTTCAAGCAGTTTACTCTAGCATAGGGTAGCAAAATTCAGCTGAACTAGCTCTGGTAAAGGTTAAGGGTTCCAGGCTCCCAGCGGCACATCCCCACCCAGAAATTCCTAAAGTGCCCCCCCCCCCGGGCATACCCGGGCAACAGACAAAGCGTTCTATAAAAAAGATCCCACCTATTGAGATTACTACATCATGACCATTTCACTGACATGCATCATCGCTCACCTTATNGGGGGGGGGGGCATGTTGAAGCTTCGATTTGACCGATACATTAACTTGAAGACAAGACAAGAAAAAAGGGGGTTTCTGGTAAAATGGTAAATAGAGTAAACTTGTTTCTCTTTGTAAGCTTGAAAGCTCTTTTTCAAAATGTTGATTATGTGACGGTGCACGGAAAAAGCTTGATGCGAACAAATACCGGGTCAGACGCACGCTTCAGGAACGTCGTCACCCCATCACTGGGCCATGATCTTGGGTACAGGAGTCACTTTAAGATCAGGCAACCATAAAAGCAGACACTGATCGATTGTTTCTTTTTACCCACCTGAGGACTTTTTGCGTTTCAAAATGACAATATATGCATATCGCATAAGATATGTTGGTCATTTTCATCCATTACGAGGGATCCACTGTAATTGGTTAGGTTGTAGTGGTCTCCCTGCCTAACAATTTTTATGTATTCATGTATAAAGATTGTATTCTAGTAAGGCGAAGCTAAATAAATAAACATTTGAAAATGATACTAACATTGATAATTAAGTGAATTTTGTACACCAGTTAAATTTACACTGACCACCCGGTAGTCTGCTACACAGCCGTTTTTAGTGTCGTCACGCAACGCTCCTCGTTGCGTGACGACAATAAAAACGGCTGTGTTGCAGACTGACCACCCGGTGCATACTATCCATTTTGAGCTCAGTTTTTAACTTTAATGATTGGCTTCTAGCAAAGAAATTGTCATTAAATTATGATAAAGTCTAACTGTTCTGTTTGTCCCTCCGTCCCACACAACAGCACATGTACCTAATTATTAAGACGCTGTCTTAGGAAAATTCTAAAAGAAAAACGAAAAAAGGAAAAAGACAAATTGGAAATAATTAACGTTAGTCAATAGTCAATTTACATTCAGTCCTTCAGCAAGAACAAAGCACTATGGACAAGAATTTTCATCGTAAATACGATTAATCTTGTTTATAATGATTATTATAATTATAGTCCCGCCATTCTTAAACGATATGAGAATTATAAGAGCGATACCGCTCTTGGCACAGAAAAAAAATAAACCGCGCGGCCGGCAGTCCGAAAACGCGACGCGACAACCGGAAGTCAATTTTTCTTGCTCAGTAGCAAGGTTACGATAATGGTCATTAAATGTTCAGCAAATGTTGTTCACCACATTCCAGTGTTTTTCCACTAAGAAAAGTATTTCATATCCTCACAAGACTTGCTTAACGGACGTATCTGTGTTTTTGAAAATGAGATCGTTCCTTTGCCTATCTTATCTCTTTTTGAACTTATTTGCCGGAGCACTTCATTTCCTTTGTCCTCCATCTCTTCCTTCTTGTAACAGAAAATATTTTCACATGACTTGCTCAACGGATGGACTCGCCCTTTTGAAAAGAAGATCTTTCGTTTATTGATCATGTCTCCTTTTGAGCTAATTTGCTGGTACACTTGATTTGTTTTGTTCTTTTTTTCTTCCTTCCTTTCATTTGACCTCTGCCTTTCATGTTTTGCAGCAAAATTTTCCTTTCCCCCAACTAAAAGTCTTGCTACGGCTGGAGACAATGCCACGATCACATGATGCAAAAGGGCAGCGGAAATGTGCTTGTTTGGCAGTTGATTTTCTATTCCAGTGCTTCCATAGTGCTCAAGGTTGAAGAGGTGTGATTGCAATGCTTCGATTGACCAAACCGTGATACCATCTCGTCGTGTACCACGATACTTTCCCCCTAACCCGGTTTTATCAATTCTTCGCGTCTTTTCGCCAATGATTTCCTCAACGTCATTCTTGCCTTTTCGTTTACGGTCTTGTGGCTTTTCTTTAAAGTCAGTTTCTCCAAAGGGATCTTTGACGAACTGCCTGAGTGAGGATCGAAATCGACTGGATCGATAATAGTAGATAAACGGATTTGCTGCACTGGAAAAGTATGTAGCGTACCATGCGATGAACCCAAACCACGAGTTGGTCGGGCTTGCTTCCCGTTGGCTCAGTATCGCGTAGGCAACTGCTGGAAGATAGGAGAGGAAATACGCAGCTATAGTCATAGCGATTGTCTTGGAGGCCTTGATAGTGTTTTGTACTCGAGCTTGGTCTTCAAGAGCAGGTAGGTTCATCTCTACTCTCTGCGAAATGAAAGACAAACTGCTAAGATAATGGTCACGAATGTGCGTAAAGCTGTTACCTTAGGGCATCGGGTGCTTATGTTTATTTCATGCCAGGCGGAGGACGTATTGGATGAGGAACCGATTTCAAACTGAAGCAGCAACCCTGCGGAGCATAAAGTAATGTAGGGCAAGCAATAATCCATGGTCTCTTACAAACTCTTAGGTAGTCCGGCATACCGTGTCCATACCTATGAAGTAAGAGAATCTGAAAATAATTGTTAAATACATTTTTTCTTTCAAAGAGTTTTGTTCACATCTAGTGATTACTTATCGGAACCAGTCGGATCGTCTCAAGTGGGGCAAGGGGGAAGGGGGGGGGGGGGGGTTTTGTTGGTAAGGATAATTATTCGCATTAATATGGAAATGTGTCATCGCGGATATCCGTACTTATTGCCCCCGCCGGGATTTCGTTCAGAAGGCGAAATCCCGAGGAGGCACTCTAGTAATTCGCGCGTATATTAACGAAAGTACTTACAGTTGAAACATACAGTCAGTATGCCAGAAAAAATCTCGAATTGCTTGAACAGGGGCCATGAGGAATCAGTAGGTAACAAGAGAGCATAAAGGGGACAGAGAAGGCATCCCCCATACACACCCTATTCCATAGGTAATTCGTCTCGAGTTATTTTCAAGACAATAGATCCCAAGTGGGATTAGACAACAGCCAATCACATAGTGGAATGTGTTCCGCGTGGATGACTCACGCTCAGAGCCACGCGTCCTTCACGAATTGATGCAGAAAAAAATGGCGGAAGACGCGGAGAGCGATACTGCTATTTGTTTTGTCGACGAAAACGACTAAAGAGAGATTTCTGCTAAAGCTGTGTCAGCAAAACAGAAATTAAAAAAGAATCGCCCTTCCTCTCTAACAGCTAGCTAACAGTACAGCGGGGAAATCCTTAACACACTGAATATTCTCTCAGGATCATTTATAATTTAAGGTTTGAAGAGAGCAATTTCTGGTTTGATATTTATTCTTTTATCAGTCTTTTATTATTCAACAAAAATAACACTTGGCGTCCTACTTGCTTTATTATACAAACGACCGGTCTCAATAGACAGGCGAAATTTCTCATGTATTAAAGCACTGAGCTTACGACAACTTCACGGGTTGTCAAAGAGACAAGCGATTCCCTTTTCCCGTGAGCGCCGACTAATTTCGCTTCAATATTCAGAAATGCTCTCGATCTCTTTACGCTTTCATTGCCTTTCGCCCGACATGTTTTGCACGGCGCTTAGTCATGCGAAACCTCCACGAAACATCCACGCAACGCGCGAGGTAACCTTATCCCGATTCTAAAAATAACTTGAGACGAATTACCTATCGAATAGGGTGTGTATGGGGGATGCCTTCTCTGTCCAATTTATCCTCTCTTGGTAGGTAATGATGACGTTTCTATTGTTTGCGTCCGCAAGTACGAAATGGTTAGGATGACGTAAAGACAGAAAATCCCGAAGGGACCGCTTAGGTAGATTTTGTGACATTTATTGTGCAGTCATACTTCAATACTCTTCTGCGTTACGTGTTATCAGTGACATTCTGTGGAGCAGTTGTTTTGAAAGTCATGGACCAAAAGACACTCGTTAAACGCAGATGAAGTTATAATGCGCGTATAACTGTGTATATATAAACACTTCGAGAGTTTGCCAGATACGAGTTCACAAATCTTTGAGATTGGAAACCTTGCCAGACACTCTTTCTCTCTCTTTGACTGGAATAAGACTCAGCCCCAAACAAGCAAGACGAGTGAACAACGGCGAGCTTATCATTAGCAGAACGATAGACGATTACAGAAATTCGCCGACAATCAAATTCTGTGCTAACTTTTTCCCTCTCACAGATGTCCTTCCGTTGTAAAGTTTAAAATAAGACTAGAATACGCGAGCGTGAATTGATCAAATGTCCTTTTAATTTCTAAGGCTTACTTTCCGGGAAATAAAATGAACTGAATGTAAAAAGTGAAAGAGAAATAGCGAAAAATTCAACTTCTAATTAAATCTTTTCCTATGGTTTAGAATAAACTGCTCTCGAAACTGAGAATGTTTTGATCAAAGCTGTGTAAATCGAACTGAAACAGTGCATGGAACCTTGCGTTTCCTGTATTTATCTTAGACTACGAGTAGTCCCCTATTTTTCCTCAGGGATAGTAGAGCGAGCGAAACGCGTGCGCGCGTGAAAATCACCCCACGCGAGAAAAGGCGACACGCGGCGCCGTGTCGCCTTTTCTCGCGTGGGGTGATTTTCACGCGCGCTCGGGTTTCGCTCGCTCTACTATCCCTGAGAAAAAATGGGGGACTACTCGTAGTCTATATTTATCTCACCTTTTAAATGCAATATGTGTTAAAATCTTCATTATGAATCGGTATATTTCAAAGAGCTACACAACGAGCAAGAATACTATTGACCGACAATTTACAGAGCAGGGGCAGCTGTAGCGTCAACTATTTTAATCCTGTAACTGCTCCCTCCTCCCCAGCACATGTAGAGCGTCGTTTGTTCTGATGAGGTCCAAATACATGGATCATGCTAAATTTGGAAACCCCTGGAAGGGGCGGTATCAGCCAGACGCGCCTCCCACCGTTTTATAAATTCAACCAAGTGATATCCTCAACCTGGGTCTTCATTTTACTTACTCTTAGGTTGGTGTGTATATAAAACGAACAACGATAAAACAGAGTCGATTTTCTCTTATGGTTTTTATGAAAAAGTGAGCTTTAGAAAGTAGCTACTGGAGTGAGTAAGTTTTCTTCCTTTTGTGAAAAGATTTATAGATTTAACAAATGAAACAATTTTTACTTGAATTTTTGCAATTTTTGAGATTTGACATGTGCAAAATTGTTTGGCGAGGTCGTCGTTGCAAGAATTCGCATAGCTTCGTTTTAAGCGGAAAAAAAATCGACAATTGAAAACGAAAAGCAAGAGCGGAAAGTATGTTTAATAATTTTCTGTTTTTCAAGCGTGCACTGGGATAGAAAATCAGCAAAAAGAGATCGAAAGAGAGGCCAAACCATGCACTGACCTTAATCTCTTGAACTAACACTTTGTAATCAACGTTGTTTTACGTTAAAGAAAAAGGACGCCGTCAAATGTAAATTTGTTGGAGCTGGGGAGACAATCAGTCATTAGCTATTGTGTTTTAGCGTGGGCACTGCTCGCTGACCCAGGAAATTGCCACAATTGTGCGTATTCCTAAGACAAAGGCGAAAAGATAAGATTTGCCTATGTTATCTACGCATTCTTGATTAAAAGCCTTGAATAGCCTAATGTTCTGATTGTATAATACCCGTAACGGATTTTCAATATTTTTTTTTCGCATGAAAGACGGCATAGGTTCATTAGTTTTCCTATGGAGGGAAACAGTTTTTTTCCCTAACTACCTGTAAGACAGGATTACTTATTTGTTGTTACATTTTTTTGTAAACCTGGTGACCTGCCACTCACCTTCTTTTTCCTCCTTCTGATTGCGCGTATGGTGACAAAACCAAGTATCCCACAACATATTGTAAAGAGAGCCATGAAGGCTGCATTGTAGTACTTTTCCTGTTGGTAGATCTTTGCTCTGTATTCAATAACTTGAACGTCACCAAGGTCAATGCGGAGCAAGGGAATGGAAAACAGAACCACAATCAGGGTGCCACTGAACCAGATGATAAACGAGGATTCCACAGCTTTGTAGGTACTTTTCCAAGCGAAATATTTCAGATCAAAGGCCATGGCAAAGTACATATCTGCCATCAAAGCCAGCATGGATGCAAGGTTGAGTATGATAAATAATCGGTTGAAGAAGCTGGACATGATCGCCAGACTCTGTCCTCTGAACCAATCCGCCTCTAACGTGACAGAAATCATGTAGATCGGCACGTTGAGGGCTATGTTTAGCATGTCCACCACAGCAAGATTAGCGAGAAGAGTGTTTGGAACAGTTCGAAAGGATTTAAATCGTGCGATAACGGCCAGAATTGAACCATTACCAAACGTAGCACCCAGGGCCAGCAAAACTGTTAATAAACTCATCAAAACTTTCGTGGAAAGTGGCTTCGGTGGGTACATGACGAAGGTGTTCACCGAGCTGCTTTCACCTTTACAATGTCGGCTTAAAATGGTCACAATCTTCAAAATATTGCTATAAATTAACGTTATCCCGTTGTTCTTTTGAAAATAAAGTGGATTTGAAATGGCAGGTGACTTGCATCAGGTTAACGTGTTTGAAGGCACAGTTACGTAACTGTTTTACCAATATTGAAAGGCAGGATCTACAAGCAAGTTTTCCCAATTAAATAAAAAGACATTGAACTCAGCTTAAGCAGGAATTAAGGATTCTGGCATAAGAAAAAGTTTCTAAAAGCAGAAAGTCCGGCAAATTACACTTTCATAAAGGGTTTCATGACACCAACATACCAGTCAGATAGTTAGTTTAGATACCCCTCACAACCATTACTGATGATTTGGAAAAATTTTAAACGATCAGTTTTATGAAATATAGTTTCTTAGTCAGTTTTCAGAAGTTTATTATTGTTCTGTTGAAAGGATGTTTACAATCGCCTCATCAATTATCCTGTTCCAAGCCGTCAGTGGCTCGCGACTAGCACGAAAAAAAAGAATAAAAACAAAGAAGTTTGTGCTCGCTTTTCTTCGCTCTTCGGGACCATATGAAATGCTGAAGGAGCTTATCTATTAGTCTTCTAATAAAAAATGAGAACGAATGCCCTTTGGGGTAAATGATTGTTAAAAGACTGAGGGGCTAGAAATAGGCTCAGGGAGCTTAAAACTGGGAAAGACACGAAAGAAAAACTAAAAGGGTTACAACCA